CAATGTGCGCGCACACACACGCATATTTTCTTACAAAACTTCATTTATTTCAAAAAAAATATAGAGACGTGGGCATTTATTACAAAAACCTTTCAAAAAAATTGTCATCTAATTGGTCGATTATGTTAAGAATAATAAGTCAAGTGTGAGTTGGAGTTCCACATTGATTATAAATGTAAAGACTTAGGCATTTATAAGTGGAAGAACTCATACACTTATTACCTTAAGATTTTGGGTGAGTATGTGGTGTGTCTCTTATAAAGGTATTACTCTAAAACGGCTCCCTCGTGTTGACCCCATGAATTGGTCCAAATGGTATCAGAGCCTTTGGTTCGAGTAAAGGTACTAGCTTACTTGTATCAAAATGCCCATGAAAAGGTATCCCATTGAAATATAAATGCTCAGGATGAGGTGTATCGAAATGCCTAGGAAGAGGTGCCAACAACGGCGGTACAAATATGTATGTGGAAAAAAGAGTTTCCACTTGAGGGGGAGCATTATGGCCTCAGATTTGAGGAAGAGTGTTAAGAATAATAAGTCAAGTGTGAGTTGGAGTCCCACAATGATTATAAATATGGAGACTTGAGCATTTATAAGTGGAAGAAATCATACATCTATCACCTTAAGGTTTTGGGTGAGTATATGGTGTGTCTCTTACAAAGGTGTTGCTCTAAAAATTCTCCCTCGTGTTGACCCCCTTGAATTGACCCCAGCAGATTAGGAAGCATCTTAACCAATTAGGAAAGTGAAACTCACTCTCGAATCAATTAGAACGTGTATCTATCGATTGAGGAGGAAAATCACCACCTGATAGATTAGGTGTTAGACAAGTGACTCTAAAAATAAGAGGGGGTGAATTGTGTGAGTTTTAAAAATAAAAAATTAGAGTTCGAAATACATTTGTAAAACAAACAAAATAAAAGAAGTGAAAAACAACAAATCAGATAGATGGAATTGTAACCGAAATAAATAATTAAAAAATAAAGAGTTAAGGGAAGGGAGAAAAGAACTAGAGATTTATAGACTTTAATAATATGTATTACAATGAGTAACTTCACAACCAAACACAGATTTATAACTACGGAGACCTGCCAACCAAGAGATTCTTCCACCAGGACAATCTTGAACCAGCAGATAGCTTTTAACATCCGGCTAAGATCACAAACCAGCTGAGAGTTTTAATTATGGAGGTCTCCCAAACAAATAGAGATTTTAAATGTTTCACGTCAATAACCAAACAAGAGATTATCTCTTGGTTTAGCTCACAACCAATACAAAATTTCTCACAATGAGAGTTTACAATATTGCCCTTACTTCAGACCCAAACAACTCATAGATAAAAAGATTTCACTCTCAAAAGTACTAAGGCAAAGTGGAGAGAGAGAGAGAGAGAGAGAGGTATTTCAAATACGTTTTCTCGTGTTAAATGAAGTGAAGAGCAGCACACTGTTTATAGGACCAAGAATGGCTTAGAAAGGAAAAGATCAATAGACCTTTTAATGGTGAAAATTTATTAATCCAATGACATAGTTGACTATCAAGTACAAAAATAGAAGATTTTCAAAAGAGTTGTTACTAATCTACTATAATCTCTAATAATTAATTATGATGATTTACAAAAAGAGAGAATCAATTAAGCCTAAGGTCTTATATATTATACAGAGTAATTTTTTCTCATAAAGAACTTTTTGAGCTTTTATCGAACTAGATAGGCTTAAAAATATTTTCTGGTAGTTTTAATAAAAAAAAGATAGGATTTCCAATCATTCAAAAGTGCATGTGTGATTTACCTTAGTAATATTCAAATGATATTATTATACCTTTATAGATGCACATACCTCAATGCAGTCTCGGGGAGCTTTAAACTTCCTCTCTTTCATAAATCAAAAGTTTTTGATTCCTTACTACATTATCTTTGACTTTAGCACTTCACTGAAACCTTGAACTTTCTTCTGAAACCTTGGAAGGAAGGAATTACTGAGGCAACCTTGAAGAAATCCTGAAATTGGATAGGAGTTACGACATGCACCCGAATCCCGCTAAATGCTCTTTTGCGGTTCAAGCTAAGAAATTATTAGGATTCATGCTCACTAAAAGGGGAATAGAGGGTAACCCCCGACAGATGACAAGTCATAATTGATATGATAAGTCTTATGTCAATGAAGATTACCAATAAGTGACATTGAATTTGGCCACCTTGTATATGTTTCTCTCCTGCCCATTCAATAAATCCTTCAACGTTATCGTTAATCTGAAGAAGAAGAAGAAGAAGAAGAAGAAGAAGAAGAAGAAAAGGTTCGAATGGATGAGCGAGTGAGAAGAGGCAACTTGTTTTGGTTAAGTAATGACAACTCACTTGCAACTTGCCTTGTCACCTTAGCTCGCTAAGCACACCATTTACGCTCGTTTAGACACCAAACTCTTTCTTCACCTTGAAGTAACTTAGCCATAAGGTCGTGAACCATCTTTTCTCTCTAAGCACTTTGTGTTTCTGGCTTAGCAAAGTTGACACCTTTGCTCGCTAAGTGTGCTTGTGTTCTTGGCTTGGTTAGCCTTGATTTGTCGGGAAAGTACTTTGGCTTGGTCTTTGTGTTGCTTTGGTAATTTCTTGATTTTATTTACCTGTTTTAGTCAATACAAAGTTAAAATGTCAAAACACACATTTTATCACTTTTCATTAATAAGTTAGGGGTTTTTCATTTGATTACTTGTAAAATAAGTTAATAAGTGCTTGTGTTTTTAACGTATTTTTGACACTTATCAATGGTTATCTTGTAATAGATGAATTTGATTATTCATGTTGGGTAAAGTTCCCGTGTGAAGATGATGTAAAGACGGAGCAGTGACTGATAGGAGATTGTTGACGAGAATAATGGACAACTGTAGTGTACAGAGAAAAAACTCTCGGAGTTTTGCAAATGGTAAAAAGAGTGATAGTTATCCAAAAACTCATATATTTTTCAAGCAAGCATTCGATCCTCGACAACATGCACGGGAAAACGTGTGCACCACTAACTGTCTTGAACTCGCATTGAACTCTTCAGAACGCTCGAGTATCCTAAGATAAAAAGGCATCATTGATGATAGTCATATAGCCACATGTCACAACTCTATAGTGAGGTATTACGAATTACAAAGAAGATATTCAGTGTGCATGTTATCAATGCTACCTGTCTCACATATATCGCACCACATTCAACCAAGGGTCGGAGGAAGCACACACAGCCAAAACCCTCATCCTAGCAAGTAGGAATAAGGCCACTCACAAGACCAACATGTCAAGATCCAATAGCAAATGCTACGAAGGAAAACATAGAAGAATATGTATGACCTCACTCAAGATCAGAGAACACAATTCTAAATTTTTGTCAATTTCTCGCTGCTAGATCTAATCAGACGATGATATGCATGAATTAAATAAGGGTGGTTCTAATCGTCCTCTCTATATAAGTCATTCACACACTAAGATTTGTGTATTTTTCTCATTCTCACACGCATACTACTTTCCTGACTTAAAAGTTAAAGTGTTAATCTTATAAGTTCATCTCGCTCCGTCGTACCGGAAGATCGCTCTATTGTGCATAAATCCTATTTCAAGCATCACCAACTATTTTTAGTTTTAAACCGAACAAAAATAATTGATATATTAACTCCAAGAGAATCAATAGAGTTACTTCAAATCTTGTCATTTAATTTTAATTCAGTTAATCGTGTATTGAATTTCTAACTTTTTTTCTGTTGGATTATCTTCTTATATTAGATCATACAAAGCGTTTTAATTTTATTTTTTAAAAAGAAAAATAAAGAAGATTTTAATTATTAATCATGTGATAGACACTGATATTCTTTTGTTCTATATGCCTAAATACATTTTGAATTTCTCTTAAATTAAACCTATCGCAGCCGTAATTTCATTCAATCAAGAGTTTAAAATTTAATTTTAGTGACAATAAGTGAAACTCTATTCTTTTTCACCGTCATTATACTGCAACTTTTTTTGTGATATTCTTCATTTATAATTAGTGTCATTCTTTTCTTTTCTTTTTTAATTTCATTAAAAATATTTGTATCGCTCTTTCCATTACTTTGAATACTTCTCATTTTTTAATAATCTAAATATGATGGTAAAAGAGGTTGAACAAGAGTTCTCTTGAAAAAATTGGTAAATTGATGTTTCAGATAGTATGAATTGTAACTTAAATTAAGACTTGTATTACATAATATATAAGAAATTAGAAAATGTCACTTTTTATTCATAAAAAGAAAATAGACAAAAATAAATAAACGTTTTGTACACTATTTTAAAAGAAAAATGAGTGGGAATAATCAATATTAAACTAATATTTAATTGAGATTGTTAGATAAATAATAATTAAATGACAAGATTTAGAACAAATACTATATTGACTTATTCTTGAAATCAATAGACCACTCTTTAATTGACAAATTACGACAAGATATCACGCAGAGACCAGGTGCATTGGAGTTGGAGACTGCGTTTATAAGTATATAAAATTCAAAAAGTCTGAACAAAATTGTTAGTTTAGATCCTAGATAAAACTTGTTAAGTGATTCTCCTACCACTTTCTGTGATATATTATTTTATTAGTCCATTGAGACCTCTCTACTTCAATCATAACTATTTTATTAGTCCATTGAGACCTCTCTACTTCAATCATAACTATTTTATTAGTCCATTGAGACCTCTCTACTTCAATCATAACTAATTCTCCTTCCATTTTCTGTGATATATTATTTTATTAGTCCATTGAGACCTCTCTCTACTTCAATCATAACCAGGCATAAAAATGCACCAGACCTACCGTAACCCCCGTTGAAATCTAGTTATTTACAATTATTATGCTTCTCGACTTTATACCACTAATAAGTTGGAAGAGTTGGATGTGAAAGACTACAGCAAAATTGTGAAAAAATAAAACGACCTTTTTCCCAAAAATGAATACAATGAAGAGAATATAATTAGACTCTCAGATAAATAATTAATAACCAAAGTCATAATCGTCGCTACTCTCTGAAAGTCCTTGACTGTCATCATCGTCCTCATCACCATCGGATACCATATCTAACATGTCTGCTTCTCCATCAAAGTCTACGTCATTCATTATGAAACCGCCGTCTTCATCATCATCGTCATCGGGATCACTTACACTATCATCATCATTGCTCATGTCATCAGCATCACTGTCGCTTTCCCCGCCAAAGCCAGGGCCTAAAAGAGGATCTTCATCATCTTCGTCCTCATCTTCGTCTTCCTCCTCGCTTTCAGCATCATCAGGATCAGAATCGTCATCAGTTGGCCTCCGACGACCAATTTCATATGATCTGGCTGATGAATACATCTCACCTTGATCATCCATGGTAATCAAACCAATAAATGAATCTGTTGGCTCGGTTGCAAAATCAAGAACACAGCGATCCACAGGGGTAGTAGCAATGTCAGAATAATTTATTGCATCCAATGTGCGAAAAGCTGAAAACAGCGGGTGCTTGACACGACGTGCATTCATTGCTGACATTACATCCTCAAGATTTCTCCTTAACATTGCATACATAACATCACCACGGGCATTGAATGTTATTGATGTCTGATCTAATGAAGCTACACTACGCAGAAGTCTGAATTTGCGGAGATCCCAGACTTCAGAGTTTATAATAACCTGGGAAAACAAAAACGGTCAGACACACCACCTTGTACATGGGATGTACATGCAAATCATATCCAATCATATTTCACCATTTTAATACATAGAAATATTTCTTAAAATGTTTTCTAAATTTAATGATGATGAAATATACTTAGATGCTTATGTAAAACCTATTTACACAATTTGAGTATAGTAATAAAACTGTAAGAAAATATGTGCAAAACTATACTGAAGTCTTGGGGTCAGACTCAACAACCCTAGAATTTAGGGCATTAAATCACAACCCTTCTTTCACAATCTCCAAGTCAACCATTGTATGAATGCACAAGAAATATTCTTAATGAGATCCATATTTGAGCCTCGGAACATCATCTCACTTCCATAGAGTCGATAAGTAAACAGTATTTCTCTATAAATCTAAACTGGGAGTCAATTCGATGTAAAAATCTATAAAATAAATAAAATGTTGAGACAGATGCAGGATTTCAAATACCTCATTTCCAGCAGGATGAAAACCTCCACCTCCATAATCTGTGAACTGATCAAAGCGATGAACAGGCGTAGATACCCGTGGGTCCCATAGGACACCATTCCAAAGCAGCATTGAATCGGCAGGGCTAAAGTGGATTAAAGAATAAACATGACCCCGCCCTGTAGAAATAGTTGATGTATCAGACAACTTCTCTTTTAACTGGTAACTTTCAATATCATATAAAAGGATTTCCCGTCCTGTAGATTCTGATGACAGGGCAGCAAAAGTATTCCCAGAGTTACTAAACCTTGCAGCCTTACAGCCTTCAAATGAACGGGTGGGACCACCTAATATCGATGTTGCATCCCACAGCTTAACCTCTTGAGAGCATGAAGAAAGCAACAATTGGGTCTCACCAGACACAAAAGACTGAACTAGAGTTAACGGAGACTGGTGACCTGTGAAGCTCTCTACCACGTTACTGTTGTTGGAATCAAAAAATTTGAGTTCTCCAGTATGGCTACCCACAGCAATATGAGAAGAGTCTCCAACAAATGTAATGCAAGTAAATAATGCACCGGCATCGTCCCGGTAAGTACGCCATGGCCTAAACCGGCTGAAAACAAATTGACGATCCCTGCGATTACCATGTACTCCACCATACATAAACTTAAATTCGCGGGTACCAAGGCGAGCAGTCACATTAGAGGGGGCATCGAGGCTTCGCTTAGGTTCAGGACAAACATGTGGGTGCAGAAGAGATATTGGAGGAAGGGTAGTAATGGGGGCTGGGCATTGGCGATGCTGATGTTTCAGATACTGAACCACCAGAGAATCTAGTGTGACACGCTCAAGGTTGTTGGGCTGGAGGTCATTCACTACTTGGCAGGAAGGTGTCGTCTGAGATAGACTAGAGATGCAGTGCTGGTTCTCATCCACATAGTCAGCTGCAAATCGGCCATGATGACTCCTAAAATTACTAGCTGGAGTCAAAAGCCCAGCAGCATCGGTATGCAAGCTGCTTTTACGAACTGCACTTGAGGAAATAGGAGAGCGAAGTCCCGGATCCCCAACATTTAGTCGCTTGCCAGATGATGATAACATCGGTATATCCTTTAAATCCGATAACTTCCGTTTGGACGGCAAGGTGATTGGAGTCTTGAACTGAGGTCCAGTTTCAGTGTTAGGTTTCACTGAAGATTCAGATGGATTCTCTGATATACAAGTTTCTGAAGAGTCTTTCCCATTACGTAACAATTTTCTGGCTGATGACTGCCGAGAGTCAATGACTTGGTGTCTTGTATGGGAACCAAAAGACGATGAGAAAGTTAGTGACTTTTTCTTTGCAGACATGGCATCACTTTTCAAGCAAGCATCTTCATTCTTTGAATTAAACTTTAATTTGCTAGTGAGAAATCCACTAGGAGTACGACCAGAAGGCCACTGAACCTGTGTTGAAGAAGCTTCCTGTGTTGTGGGTTGTTGTGCTAGAGAAGATGGAGCAAGTAATGATGACAAAGGAGTTAACTGAGCCTCTTTAAGCAATAAAGCAGCAGTTTGCCCCAAACCAGATGCCTGTAAATGTTCATGAATTAAGAGCAAGAGTTCACTGCATAAGACAAACAGCAAATAAACAGCTATCAGAAGGAATGCCCAGTTAAAGTTGGGGTTTGGCGAAAGAACTGCAAATATATTCAAAAAACCTGAATGGTCAAATTTAGTGTAAAAAAAACTGGATACCTTGAAGGGTAAGTAATAGGAGTGGCGGCAGCTATAGCAGCTCTTTCAATGCGCCTTAATGTAGGAGTAGCTGCATCACTAGCAACTAATGTGCTTGCACGTCCTAAATTAGCCACAATCTACGAACGTAATTAGAACGTAAGTATCAATAGTAGCCTTCATAGAGCACATGTAAATCAAGTTTAGTTCAAGCAAGATTCACTTATATTTGAACAGTATAATTGACACCAACCTTCAAGGCTTTACCTACAAATTGCTACACTGTTTTTACTGTGTCTTCTTTTTAAAAGATTTATTCAGGAAACAGTGTAAACATTAAATCTAAAGAAGTTTGTTTTTCTCGAAAAATAAAAATAATCTTTTAAGCAAAGCTTTTTTTAAGCTCAAACAAATAGTTTCAAAATGAACATAGATTTCAATACATATTTGAGCTTAACTTTTGTTTAAGCTTAAATGAAAATAGATTTCAATACATATTTGAGCTTTACTTATTTTAAGCTCAAATAAATATTTTCTAAATGAGCTAGCAAAGAACTCAATCCATATTGAGAATGTATATCTACTAAACTTTACATGTTATTCTACTAGCTAGCATATAACAAGTGTTATCGATGGCAGAGAGCCAAATACCCCAATAACGACATATGAGGTGGCCGCCATATGGTGCCGATATCTGCCATGGCCAATATTTAACCACACTGTATACAAGTTATAGATCCATATGCACCATGGAAACAAAAAAAACATTAATACCATTCAATTCCATGGGTTTTATTCTATGCATTAATATAGTGAAATTTCTGGTGAATAAATTTAAGACTCAATTTTATGGTAATTTTAACATGGGTACATAAAAAACAGCAAAGCAAGCAGCATTTTCATTGAAACCAACCCAATACCCTGAAATACAAACTTAACATCACCAAAGTGTGGAGATACTCACCCCAATTAGCTCAATTGCAGCCTGGGATAGTTCAGCTTGCCACCTACCCTGTTCTGTTCCGAGTGTTGTGCTACCTGAATCTCGAATTATGTCAGACACTTTTTTCCCGACCTAGAACACAGGCAATATCAGAAATTAGATCCCAATGACAATAGAAAATGTTTGTGTTTCAAAACCTATCATCATCAATAACAGTATTCAGACTGATATACAACTAAATAGTAGTTAAATAAACTCCATAGATAATTGAAATGATTGTTAGGTATCACATGTCTATTGTAGTATATTTCTGCTAGTGGAGTTAGTTTTAGACTGCGATAGCTAGAGAAATAAGGCACTACAAATAAAAGCGGATGAGAGGGATATTGTCATTTTATGAGATGGGGCCTTTAACTAGGGAGGGGCAGACCCTGGAATTTCTAAAACATTTCTACACTCGTTGAATTTACCCCTGCATCTTGGAATAAGGTGCATCTTGGTTAGAGTCTAGTTTGAGCACGAAAATGTTCAATAAATAGAGTTAAAGTTGTTCACCTGAAGTTTTGTCAATGTATGTGCAATATTGTCATCTCTGGCTAATCCAAGCAGAACTCGACAAGCTAGAGCACGAAGGCAGTCCAGAGCAGCAGGAGATGAATATACACGCGAAGAGATGATTTGTATAAGAACCTTTATACCATTACTAGAACAGACAGCCTCTCTTGCCTGATGATATCCTTGTTCCAGCTGTGTGGCAAGCCCGGCACAGCGTGCTCCAGCACCCAGAGTTATTCTTCGATCACCAACCAAGCCTGAGCTTGCAGAAGGAACGGGAGTTTGGGGAGTACTATTCACAGATTGTGTAGTAAGTGCTGCAGCATTGCCACGATCTATAGCACTGGACTCCCCATTCCTCTCCCTAGGATCAACATGGCTGGAGACTTGAGCAGATCGGTCGGCATATCTGTCTCTAGTCTCTGAGAGAGCACCATTAGAGGTTTGGGAAGGCGCAAACTGATGGCCTTGTGACACTACAGGTGGTTTATTGCTGATTGAAGGAGGAGGGCAAACAAGGTTGATTAAAACATTTAATGCTGATTGAATTATCTGAAATGCAGCAAAATCAGTATGTCAAAAATCTTAAGGAATTCCCATTAACAACAATAGATGTTAGTGAAGCAAACACTACGATTGCTACAACAAGACACTTACCTCGGGGTCCACATGACTATTGCTAATATTTGCTGCATCCAAAATTACATAAATACCAGAACGGTTGGTGCTTAATGTTGCATTTACAATCATCTTTCGACTGCTAGGTACTAATGTAACAATTTGCAAAACCCCCAATGCATACTGTAGCAAATCATGTAGATATCGCTCCACAGTTGGGGCCTACAAACAAGATGAACTAAGTAAATAAATTAATTGCAAGACAAAGGGAACACAAACTAAATATGCCATACCTGACACAATTCCAACATAGTAATATGCCCATTAGATGCCAAGAACTTTTCAACTTCCCGCCAACCTGTTCTCACAAATGCAGGACCTAGCTTCCGATCTTTTTGTAATTGTAGGAATACTGCATCCATTGCCTCATTACTAATATCAAGTGGCTTGTAAGCAGCCCTTGTACTTGGAATATTTCTAGCAGCACTGCGATTGCTTTTGTTTGGACGAATAGAATCTATTAATAATAGGAGGTGTGCTCTGAAATATTGCCGCAGAGCAACACAAGTGTGATAGGCTACCTGCTTCTCAGATGATGTCAGCACTTCTGCGGATGATGTTCTGTCATTTCGAAGTAATCCTGAGTTAGACGAGCCCAAGGCTCCAGAGGTTACTCCTGATCTTATGGAAACAGCATCATTGAGAAGGCCCAGTAATTTCTGTAAGCCATCCTGAGAGTCAAAAGCATCGAGTACTGCTCGGAAGACAAATGCGGCAGAAAAAAACAGTGCTGCATTCTTCCGGGCAAGATCTTGATTACACTCAATGAGTTGGAGAGCCAACTCAACTACGTGATAAATGACATCAGAAGGAAGAGCGCAAACCCGTTCCATTATCCCCTGAAATAATCATCTATAGTCAAAATAATGTAATAGCATTGTAGGAAGATTAATTACAAGGAAAATGTACATAAAGGTTTGGAGTATAATCGCTATTACACATCTCACATCACGATTATGATAATTTTTGCGATGAATACCTGAAGGGAACCAATAGTAAATAGACAAGAAGAAAGGCCAAAGAATGTTTGGGCCATTCTAGGTACAGCAAGCAGCTTTTGCATTCCTCCACGGTCCACAAATAGTGCAGCAAATTTCCTATGGGCAGCTAAAGCACATATCAGCTTCATGACATCAGGCAACAGGAAAGCAACCTTGGATGGATCCTGATGTTTAGAACTTTGCTGCAAAAGTCCAAGACAAACATCAACCCCCTTCTCGTGCAATACAGGTCCCAGAACTTCTACATATTCTCCAAGTAATGCAAGACACTGAATGCAATATTTTTCCCTCAATTGTGTAAGTATTTGAATGTCTGGGATGAAATAATCTTCAACATCCTCACTAGATTCTGTGTCTCTGCCACTAACATTCTCTGTCTCTGTACTAATGCAGACAGATTTCCTGTGACCAACCCAATAAGAACATTGTCAACAGGACTAAAAGAACCTTATCTGGCAATTATTTGTCTGAGCATTTAAATTGCTCGTAATATTATTCTCATGTACCTTGAAACTTCAACAGCAGATGCAGCATCGATAACAGTTGATGCAGCTCTAGAAGCAGCCAAAAAAGCTACCTCTTCATTGTTGGTGGATTTGTATTCCTGAATATTATACATGAAATAAAATGTCATTTCAATTGTGAAAATAAAATATGCAGTACTGCACACCGACGCGTATTTTTGCAAAAGTATAATTTTTTGTATTGGAAAAAAAGGAATGAGCATTGGCATACCTCTAAAGCTGCAGTTTTAACAAGATCAGCAGCAGCATCACCAGCTGCTTTGACAGCTTCTTCAGGGGCATTGTCTGATCTAGCTTCAGCCTCAGCAGCTTGGACTGCTTTTCGAACAAGATCAGAGATATCTTTACTTCCAATAAAGCACTCTTGGAAACAAGCATCATTATCCTCTCTTTCGGAAACGAAAGCTTCGGAAACGGTACTGGTAAGAGCCTTTTTAGAATCAGGTACCCGTTTAACATCACTGTTCTTCAAAGAACTCCTATCTCTACCACTCCGCCCCTGTCCTAATCGACTGGCAGAACCAGCAGATGACAAAATGGGTTCACTTTCTAGCAGCCCATCGTTGGCCCTTCCTTTCCCCCTTGATCTTCCCAATCCACGGTTAGTACGCCGCCTTGAAGATTCATCCCTACCATTGTCTTCATGCTCACCATATTTTATCCTACCATCACGGATATCTCTACAACGCCATCTATCCTCCCCATCAGAATCCACCTCACCAACATCAGCACCTTTGCTGAGTCCATCAGATGGTTCATCATCTATCCAGGGATCTTCTTGACAAGCCTGTCCACTAGCACTTCTATCCTGACCCTGTTCAGGACCTTGGTCATCTAAAGATCCCTCTTCATTAATCCTTGTATCACCTAAATGACTCATTTCTAGGAGCTGGCGAAACCTTCCACGACCATCATCTCTACCTCTTACTGGAGTATTCCCAGATGAATGTTTGTTTTCGGATAAATGACTAATATCTTTCTGGCTGCCACTTGACTCGCCCAGCACACGCACACGAAGATAACGCATTAGCTTAGCTGACAAGCCAGATGTTAATACATCTTCCACTATTTGACCTCCGCTGAAATCATTCCAAATTAAATAAAAACAGAGAAAAAGGAGGCATTTAGAACAAAATTAAAGACAGAAAACAAAGCTAAAACATAAAAAGATAAAAACAGTTTATCAATGGAGGAGGTTAGCATACCCAACCAAACACACGGCAAGGAGCCCAGTAGAATATGCTTTCAACATTTCAGAATCTGAGGCCTCCTTTCGTCCCAGTTCAGGTTTCAGGTTTTGCTCCTCAGTACTATCATCAGTAGCCCAATTTTTTAAGTTCTCGAGGACAGGTTCTTCAAAAACATGAGGATACTGTCCAATTAAAGTCAATCAAATTCATGAGACACCACCCACTGAAAGATAAAAAAAAGATTCACAAACAACTAGAATAAACGGGAAACATAATCTTACAATCCAAGTTAGAGAACAGCACAAGATAAGTCTGACAGCAGCAGCTCGAACCGCAGTTGAGTATCCAGTTTCTGACAGAAACTTCAAAGATATTAACTCAAAGAAATCATCGTTTTCCTGTGGAAGATATAGCAAATGTCAAATCACTACCTCAATAATTTAATCATTAATAAAAAAAACTAACCCAAAAACAAAGAGGATCATATATTAATACCCGAATTATACCCCCAAGACGCCCAATGTTATGAGCAGCACGTGCATTGGTAGACGAAGAATGACTATTATCTTCCATGTATCTACATTTCAAAAAACAAGTTATTATCAACAAAAACACTGAGAAGATTGAACAAAAGACTGAAAACTGGTGCAGATTATTCATATACGAATACAAAAATGCATACACACACAAATATCAATAGCTAATAAATTAATTCAAAAATAAAAACACTAAAATCATAAAACATTAAAGAAAATGGCGACAACATACCGAGTCTCTTGAGTTTCAAGAATGGATGCAAGAGCATGTAGAACGTTAGGTTTGGGGTTATCGGGAGAGGAAGTGATTTTATCCATGAGTTTGTTAACCTTTGCGATTAACTCTTCATCCTCCATCTTAGAAGGATCTTCGTCTTCTTCTTCTTCTCCTTCACGTGGAGGTTGAACTTGATTTTGATTCGCTTGATTATCCATGGATTATCGGAGCGAAACAGAGATGATTACTGAGAACCGTGTGATTAAATGATTAACAGTAAAATTGATTGATTATCGTTGGTGTGATTGTATGAATATGTGTTGATATTGAATTTCTGTTAGTTAGGGTTATGGAGATTGAAGAACGTATAAGGGTTTGGGTTGCAGAGATGGGAGAGAAGAGAGAAAGAAGAAGGAGAAAGGGAGAGAAATAGTGTAAGAAAAGAAACGCATAATAACACCGATATGAAGATTTGATGAGAAGGTTCCGGAGATATTCGACCCGGTTGCGGGCTTATAACCCTAATAACCAGCACTTCGCACTTACAAGCCCTAATAAAAACTCAATTTTGTAATTTTTTTTTTCATTTTTTATTGAATGTATGATAATATTCTTCTTACAACATTTTTTTTTCCATTTTTTATTGAATGTATGATAATATTCTTCTTACAACATTTTTTTTTTCTTAAATGCACTTTTAATTTTTTTTTACTTTTAAAAAAACTCAGTTTTTTAGTTCTCAATTCAACTTTTTCTAGTTTTTTTTATCCCCTTGTGTTTCGTGACATGGCACGGAGCATCACCGTCACATTTTTTTTTGCCATGTCATATTTTTTAATAAAAATAATAATTTTAAAATATTATTTAATATTGTTAATAATTAATTAATATTAATAAAATAATATGTATTAAATTATTTATAGTACTATGTGTCACTAAATAATTGGATAATACATAATAGAAAAAATAAATCTTTTGACAAAAATCAAACTCACGTCTCATTCTTTCCTGAACAATGACTTTTGTCATTCACACAACTGCATTACTGTGAATTCAATTACGTTAAAATGCATGTATATATTTTGAATCTCACGTTTCATCTTTCTCTTTATTCTCACATGTCATGTTGTTCCTTCTTTTTCATCTTCAGAAATATGTGGCTTTTATCTTTTAAAATGGTGTTTTATTCAACAAAAATGAATGAGAAAAAAATCAATATCTCTTTTTATCCTCCAAATGCAGGATCTATTCTAAAAAGAACTTGCAGTCAAAAAAATCATCTTAGCCTCCATATTCGTGACCTTTTAAGAAAGATAAAAAATACTAGATGTATATTCTCCTTTCTATTGTCAGTGCAATATATTAGAACGAACTCAAATGTCAAATCTCTTTTTTTTTTTCGTGTCTAAAACAAATGTATTATTTGAGTTTTATATAGCAATTTAACTTGTAACAATTGTTTTTTTCATTATGTTGCTTTGGATCTTTAATAAAATAATGGTAAAACGAAAATAAAAAAGCTTTCAAAAACGATAAAACAATTGTTTTGTCAAGCTATTCTTTTTGAATTTAAAATAAATTAGTGTCCAAACGGGCACGTCCGTTTTTTTAATATACACACGTAAAAATTTAAATGATATTTTGTTATATATTATCTACTATCTATCTAATACCAATCTATTGCATGCTTTGCCAAATATGTCCTTTAAGCCAAAACAGTTTACACTAACAAAAGGTTAAATCAGTAACTAACAAAACATAACAAAATTCCACTTCAAACTTCCTCTTTTGCTGCCACGTGTCTCTCCAATATTGACCTATGAAATCATTTTGCTGTCCCACTCAAAGACACACAGTCTCTCTCAATTCAAACATTGTCTCGCACTTCTCTCTCTCCCCTTTCTATTTATATCATTCCTATTTCCTCTCAAACCCTAACCACCGCCCCCTTTCTCCCTCGTCCCTGTTTCTCTCTTCTTCCCTCTCTTCCCCGAAACATTATTGTCGCCGTCCTGTTTCCACCTTATCTGCAACCATCAGTATCTCAAAGATGAAACAAGCTCATATCATGTTTCCTTCTGCTCTTTTAGTTTTCTTTGATTTGAATGGATGAAGGTATATTTTAATATGTTATTAAAGATTTGTGTAGATCTGTTTTCTAAGAACCAACACAATGTATTTTGTTAAAATTTTTAGATTAGTGTCTTTGACATCTTTCCGTTTTCCATACATTTTGTGAGTTTGAATGTTTATGCTGAAGTTGTCTTCATTACAAGTTGTTTCTTTCTGATTTTACAACATTTTTCTCAGTTATTTGTTCAACAATATATTGTTTACTATTTGTTTTTAGCATTTTCGAAAGTTTTAGTCTTTTTCTTTGTTTATATTTTTTCCTTAGTAACATAGTTTCACAATATGTTGGTGGTTTATGTGTTGTGTATTTTCCACTCTTTAGGTAAGAGCCAGTTGTTACAGGCAGCAGCAGCTGTTTCTCCACATGGTATATATGTTTGTGGTAACGCAACAACCTGGTCTCACAGTAGCTGTAGGGAAGGATCCTATGACAAATGACTATGCTTTTGAGGCAGGTACATGCTTTTAAATTCTTTTTATGTTGCACTCATTGAAATTGTGAAATCATGATTCAAAGTACACTGCAAGATTTCTAGAATTATTGGATTACCAGTTATTGGTCATTATTGATACTACTCTTTTTGGAATATGTCTTTGATTTGTGTTTTTATGTTGCCTTTTGTTGTTTATTTCTTCAAGTTGTTCTTCTGAGTTCCGTATGTTGAAATCTTTGTTTCTGTGATAATGTGGAATTTAGTGAGTAAATTTAATAAGTCATGAAGCTAAGTTATTTGTAGTTCTTTTCTGGCCAAGTTGTATGGATTGCTTCCTTTGCGGTGGGCTGAATGGTGACATAGTTTTCTGGTGCTTGTCTCTATTTGCTTAAGCTCTGCAGATTTTTCTTGATTTCTCTTTGATAGTGTCTGACATAATGACTTTTGGATAAAGTGGAGAAGAGGGGGAAAATGTTATTTTTTTATATGCTATCAATAAGGTATGATTGGGTCTAACTGATTTTGCTGTGATCGTTTGCAAAAATTAGTTCATATTTTCTGTGAATAATTGTTGTGATTCCTGATAGGTGCTATGGTGCTGACTGACAGTGGATTGTGTTGTATTGACGAGTTTGATAAAATGACTTCAGAGCATCAGGTTTGTTCTCTGGTAACCACTGATCAATTAGGTTGGTCTTAAAGGATGAGCCTTAACTTATGTTTGTCCTTTATAGCTTTCTTTAACCCTTATCTATTCATGGTTGTTTGAGATTCATTTGAATTCATGTTTCATTTAGGTTGGTCTTAAAGGATGAGCCTTAACTTCTTCTATTGATTGGCTTCAAGGATATTTAGTTTTTCAAAATCAACCGTTGACTTGGTACAAGTAAGTATCATTATGTTTTGCTTGTGCCGATAACTCATGTTTTGTCTGTGCTAATACTCTATTTTGCACGAATGGTAATTGTATTTTTTTTATTAAATATATTAATGATAAAAACTTATTTAAGAATGAAGTTATATATGAAATTTCTATGGAATAGATTCAAAGTATAAATATCTTTTGAAGCCCTGTGATGTGTATTTCAATCTATTTTGAGGGTCGAAATTACTTCAATTTGTGTTTTATTTTCCACTATTTTTTCTTCTTCTGAAACTTAGCTGAAGTAGGTTGTGTATTAAAACATGTTTTTGCAATTTTGATAGTGTATAGTGTAACACCCCAAATTTAATCGGAATATTTTAATTAATTTATTTAATTGAGAATATTCGTATTTTTGGTGTTTTCGGTGGTTTTGGGAATTATTGAGAAGATGTGCATGTTGGACTATTTATTTAATTAATAGTATACTATATGAGAATATTAGTATTATTATTATTAAAATAAATATAAGGGAAATAAGGGTAAATTGGGCATTATGAAGAGTTAGTAAGGGTGTTATGGGAAAAGCCCAATTTGTGAGGCCCAAGACTAAGTTAGACAAAATTGAGTTCTGAAAGAAAATCAGATTTCATTTTGTGTTTAACGTGAAAGTTCGTGGCCAGAGCTCTGAAGGAAAGGCTGGAAGCAGAAGATCCCAAAGATTAATCGTAAAAGTTGCGAATCGACTAAGGTATGGGGAGTATCGCATTTCATGATTTTCCATGTATGTCTTTCGGTGTGTTTATGGTTGATTTAAGATTTAAGGTATTTTGGGTTGGTTGTGGAAAAATAGGGAAATTGGTGATAAGGCTTTGAGGTTATTGTTAATGGTATGTAACACTGAATATTGATATGAGAAAGGAAACCTTAGGCATTTGTGGCCAAAACCTTAGATCGTTATATGTTTGCCCATATGGGATAGAATATTTGATATTTGAAATTACGATGCCTTCGGAGCAATTGTAAGGAAATTGACGGTAGACCCTGGAGGTTAGTGGTTAGTATTCTTGACCCTTGGAGTGTAGAGATGAGAAATAATGATTTTGCCTTCATATGTGAGTAACTCTGAAGTACTCAGAGTAATTGCAGGAAATAGTGTTTTAGGCGTTGCAAATATTGTCAGATGAGCCTAATAAACCATAGAAGTTGTGTTGTTATTGCCGTATAATCTTAAGAATGTTTTAGTGATGTTTTGGGTACGTTGAGTGAGTGATTCGTAAGAATAATTGAGTAAAAACCAGTTCCGAAGCGTAACAGCGTCTTTCTGTTCGTCACGACTGTTCATGTTTTTGGTCGAAATTGTTTTGGACGTAACTTTTGATCCATAAGTCCGTTTTGACCCCCGTTCGAAGCGTTGGAAAGCTAATAAACAGAGCTATACATAGTATGAATAAGGGAATTGTTTTCCCAATATTTTTATATCTAATTATGTTTGAGAAGTCAATTGTGTATATGTTCTATTAATGAATCATGTTCTGGTTCAAGGATGTCTTGATGTTTTGATGCTGCAATTTTCCTGATGAATTACCATGAGGGTAACTGTGATAATATGATGAATTAACATGAGTAGAACCGTGAAGTTTATGTGATTGATAGGCGATAGTGTGGGGATTACCGTGAGTATAACTTGATAAATTAATATGAGATGATATGAGGGTAGTACTATGAATTAATATGGGGTAATATGGGATAAAATGACTATGAGCTAATATGTGATTTATACGGGATT